GACACTCCAATCGTTCAGAATCACCACCTTGGGGAATATCCCAATCAGATACCCACTAACAAAGAAAGATATCAAAGGTTAGTGGGGCGATTGATCTACTTGTCCCATACCCGACCCGACATCGCATATGCTGTAAGTGTTGCTAGTCAGTTTATGCATTGTCCAAGTGAAGATCATATGGATGCAGTTCTTCGGATTCTTAAATATTTGAAGTCAGCACCAGGAAAATGACTTATGTTCTCTAGAAATGGTCATCTGAATATCAGTGGCTATACCGATGCGGATTGGGCGGGAAATGTCACTGATCGACGATCAACATCAGGTTACTTCACATTTGTGGGAGGTAACTTGGTTACTTGGAGAAGCAAGAAACAGAAAGTCGTTGCCTTGTCTAGTGCAGAGGCTGAATTTCGAGGAATGACCAAAGGAATTTGTGAACTCCTTTGGTTAAAGCAATTGCTTACAGAGATTGGATTTGCACCTACATTAGGAATGCATCTACTGTGTGATAACAAGGCTGCCATATCCATTGCCCATAATCCAGTTCAGCATGATCGCACAAAACATGTTGAAGTGGATCGACACTTCATTAAAGAGAAACTTGAAAACAAAGAAATTCAGCTTCCGTTTGTCAAGTCCGAAGACCAGCTGGCCGATATATTGACAAAAGCAGTTTCTAGCAGAGTATTCCACAACTCACTGGTCAAGTTGGGCATTGGCGACATCTACACACCAACTTGAGGGGCAATGTTAGCCTGTAATAGATTAGTTAGTTGGTTACCTTTTTTACCTTGTCATCTTGTGTGTGAAATACAAAGTCCTTATTTTATGGTTACCTTGTTTTAGGGAACTCTGTTTTCTTGTCTTAGGGAAACTTTGTTTTCTTGCAGGGTAATGTTGCAAATGTTATCAGCACAATTCGAGCTAACAGGATAGCTGAAGATGGCTCGCAGGCAGTGCAAGGCTTAGTTATTCGTTAGAATTTTTTTGGTTATGTAGGTTCTTGGCTGACTTATGAAAGCTTGAAGTAGTATTTATGATTCCCAATTATTTTCCCTTTGGACTTTGGATCCAAATGTTTTGGAAATTTTGACAGGAAAAAGGTCTCTTGTTATTTACAAATCTTATGATTATACGCTTGCTAAATGATGAATGACTGCTTATCTATCATCAGCAGCTTCTGTTGCGTTTGACAGGAAAACTCTCGTGTACTGAAATTCGAATGTTGGTGATGAATAATATATTTCTGAGAGCAATTGCAGCCTAACAGGTGATCTTTCTTGACCACGATAGGATTCATTTTGCAATTGTTAGGAGTGGACAGGAAAACTCCTTTGTAGTTTCTTTCCACAAGATTTGGATCTAAGACCTTACTATCCATCCGAATCCATCGTTAGCACCACTGGGATATTATCCCATTGAATAACTATTCGATCTAGATGCAATAAATACGATGTTATTGTGTCAAATAATTAAACAAAAGTGGCTGTAATCTGTTGGTTGTGCCTATCATGATTGAGAGAGGAGGTCTAGTGCCAAATGTTTGAATGAAGTGGGAAAGCTGCATAGTGTAAATGCAAAGAAATTGCCTGGGTACTATACACAAGTTTTTTGCTTTCTGTCAACCCAGTTAACTTTTTGTCTGATTGCGTGGTTTAGTTCCCATTACTTTCTGATGACTAAATCAAAGACTTTCATTGCATGTTATATATTTAGCACTAATCTAAATGAAAGATTTTCCACAAATAGAAGATAGTAAACTTTGACTATCACTAGTTATTTTCTTTTGTAGGGTAGGCTGTAGACTAAGTGTCAACACTGTTTTGTGGGTTCTCTTTCTTTGTGGTTCTTGTATCTTGCATCGACTGGGCTGAGGGATCTGGGCAAGTTTGTTGTTTTGTGTTAATTTAGTCAGCATTTACTTGGTAATTTGCTAATTATTTTCTGATGTTTGAAATCAAAGACTTGCATGTCAAATTTGAGCAGTTTGCCTAAGCACCCACTTTGCTTAATTCCTTTTAGGGTAGACGCAGTGGACTTGAGGAGTTAGTTAATCCTTAGTTATATTACTTACTGGTAGAAATGAACCGTACAAATATATACCATAGTTAATCATGATTGAAAGATTTTTTTCTTCGAAATTTGTAAGTTCTTGTTCTAACCACCATTCTTTTTTTCTTTTCTTTTTTTGGGGGGGGGGGGGCGTCAAATTCTAACTACCATTCTTAGGTGTAGTTAAGAATTTGTAAGGGAGTCGGTCGTACGCGTGCTTGGATTCTTACGCGGGTCTCGAATCTGGAAAAGCTTTTTGTGTCAAGTGACTCTCACCTCTCTCTATCCATGAAGACCACAAATCATCCACATACACATGACCAACATCCCTGGAGAGTAGTTGACGGGGGTAGTAGACTGACTATACAGAATTTGTGCAGAGATTAATTAGAGATGTGAAAGAAAAATAAACATAACAAATAAAATCTCCAACAATTGGGTTTCGATAGGGTAATTACCTTTGCTTTCCATGTAATTTGGCAAGTGTTAAAGACAATTGAAGTTTAGGGATGCCAATTATTTTCCTACTAACAAATTTTGTTTTCTGTAATTTTTCTTGATTTTCCAAGGTTTTTCATTTTCTCTGAACTGAAAAGTATAAAATAATGTTGATATAAACACCCTTCTTATTTCGTTTGATTTGCACCTTATTTTCTTAATTAAATTTGGGCTTGGGATCTTGGAGTTGGAGGGTGCATCTTCTTCTCCTTGCGGTTCCTCTAACGCAGCCGTCGTGATAAGATAGAGACTTGAGTTAGTTACTTGACAGCGGAATGACTGTCTCGTTTGATATTTTCCATGATTTTAGTGAAATGGCACAAAAGACTTCCAGAATGCAGCCCGGAAAAAAGATTTAGAGAGAGAAAAAACAGCATGAAATGATTAAAAAATGTTTCAAATAGCGTGAGTCACTTCACGTAATTTCTTAATTTGCATTCAATATTATTGGTTTCAAATACTACTACATTTTTTGGGTAATTCAAAAATGTTGCCCATTATCTCCCATTTGGATCATTGATCTCAGAAAAGATCGTCTCAGATATACATTGAATGGATTCATTTGTAGCGCAACCTGGCTCAACACTTCTAATTTCTGCAGCACTGTCATTGTTGAAGGCAACCTCATTGCTCCTTTCAACGCAGTTGCGATGGAGCTGAAATGCAAGCTCAAGTCCCTTCACAACGTCATTCATTGACGGTCGTTCGATTCCACTGTCATTCATGCAACTCATAGCGATCTCAACGAACTTATTCAGAGACTGGATTTCAATCTCACCCCTAATGCTTGGATCAATAATTTGATCAAGTTCCCCGTCGCGATGACAGCTCTTGGCCCACTTAGCCAAATTCATTTGCCTTGGCTCCTCATTATGCATCACAGCCGGCCTTGCACACAATACCTCACACAACACTACACCAAATGAATACACGTCTGACTTCTCAGTAAGCCGTTGACGTTTGTAGTATTCGGGGTCCAAATACCCGAAGCTGCCTTTCACCATCGTACTAATGTGGGTCTTGGATGTGTTGATTGTGCTCATTTTTGACAATCCAAAGTCTGAAATTTTGGCCATCCATTTCTCATTCAATAAAATGTTTGTGCTCTTCACGTCACGGTGGATGATGGTGCCCTTGGTGCCGCTATGAAGGTAGCGCAACCCTATTGCAGCGCCGATACAAATTTGGAGACGCTGATCCCAAGAAAGAGGGGGGTTGTCAGTGTGGTAGAGATGGCTGGCAAGGGTCCCACGTGACATGTAATCGTACACCAAGACCATCTCATTGCCGTCGTTACAATATCCGATGAGAGACACCAAATAGCGGTGGCGGAACTGAGAGAGCAGCTCGATTTCCGTCTTGAACTCGTGGGCGCCTTGTGATGACTCAGATTTTAGCCGTTTGATTGCAACGAGAGTGGCCCCATCATCAATGCATCCTTTGTACACGTTACCAAACCCTCCAACTCCAATAATAAAACTGTCATCTAAGTTTCGAGTGGCGGCTTTGATCTCAGCCAGTGTAAAGTAACGACACAAATAAGACGGTCCATATGTTATGTGGGTCGCCGGAAAAGAAAATGGACCCCACTTCATTCCCTGGTTGGAGCTCGAATACTTGTTTTTTCTTCCTCGCCTGAACACCAAGAAAAACCCAAGAACAGAGCCTAAAACAAGCACGCCGGAAACTAGACCAGCAATGATAGCAATCAGAGAAGTCGAACTCTTCTTTGAAATTTTAGGGCTTTGCGGCGGCG